GAAACTCTTTACAACGAAAAACTCTATATAACGTAAACGTTACACAATAATGGTTGGTTTGCTATATAACCCATTAGTCAATTCTTTCTCTATAACGTAGTAGTCACTCTCAATAACGAAACAATATTTTATGTTTCATAATACAATTTACGTGTTATAGTATTATTATCTATTACATATATTATAAACTATTAAAATAATCGGCAATAATGCCGAAATTTCCAAGAACGATTACATTCTTTCATTACCTACTTTTAATATCGTTATTGTCTAAATTGAATGTTCATTTTATTATCGACGTAATGTCTAACATTATACGCATGACCACAGTAGTATAATAATAATGATACGTAATTTAATATAATACGTAAATATGTATAAAATAATGTAAAAATAATAATGTGTTTGATATATAATATTACACAGGTTATATACCTATAGGTACCTTTATACATAAATAATTAAAATTTTGTTTTTTTTAAACCCTCTCTATTACGAAAACTCTCTATAACGAAAGAAATCTCTTGGTCCCTTCAGATTCGTTATAAAGAGTTTTCACTGTATTAAAAAAATTGTATAATAGCTCTATAGATAGCATTGGGTCTGAATTAGATGAACATTGCGCCCTCGATTGCGCCCCAAAATCCTCTAAAAGTAAGAAAATAATTGTTATAATTTACTAGTATTCTGTCTTATACTAATTATTCAAAATTGTATTTAAACAGGATCTTTGGTAGAAACTCATATAGGCTCGTTAATAGAGGAACTAAAACAAAGCAGACCAATTCCTCCCAAAGAAAATATAGTCCAACAATCACCAATAAGTGAAGAAGAAAAATTTAGTGTCTACTTGGCTAGCATACTAAAAGATATTCCTAGACAACGCCAAATAATTTTGCAAGCTAAAATTATTGCTCTGGTTGCAAAAGAATTAGAAGATTAACATGGTTTTGTTAACACATTTTGTACAATATTCGAGTATACTATTGTCAGTGAAATTACGTTTTGTTTTATTAAGTTTTCATTTTGTTATGTTACATAATATACAACTGCTATTATCCACTAATAATTCTACTTTTGCTCACATAAAGATATGTTTTTTTTTATTGTTATTTTCTTAGATTAATATTAAGACTTGTTATCTAATGAATAATTTATTATATTCATAAAGTTGTCTTCAACATAAATGAATAATATTATGTTTAATTAAAAGTGATATTTATTTGTAAACTGTGTAATATGTAAGTATACTATTGTCAGTGAAATTACGTTTTGTTTTATTAAGTTTTCATTTTGTTATGTTACATAATATACAACTGCTATTAATTATTATCCACTAATAATTCTACTTTTGCTCACATAAAGATATGTTTTTATTGTTATTGTTTAGGATTAATATTAAGTTATCTAATGAACAATATATTATAATAATATAATATTCATATGGGGGATATGAAGCTCATAAAAAAGTGTTGTCGGCGGTATGTATGGTAAAATCCAAACAAATTCCCAAAATGATTTAGGATTACTATACTTCAATGCTCCTGCATATTATGCAAAGCATTTTTATATAGGTGCTTAAATTCAAATTTACATTGCGCACGCAGTCTGCAGATTATATGGTAGGACTGGCTCTTCAAACAGTCCCGGGCTGAACAATTAATAATCCATTTATGAAACCGGCCCACCGTATAGTATTTCATATAGTTGGTGAGATTTTTTTTTGTTAGGTCTATTAGCTTACTCAAGAGTCAAGACCCATCAAGGAAAGGTGGAGTTTTGAAAGATACTTAATGGAACAGTTAATTCAATTAATTATATAAACACATAAAAAATTTATTAAAATTTGCAAATTAAATATTTAAATATTGAAAGGGTACAGAACCTTCCCCTGCAAAATAGTCCGTTAATTTAATGCGTGTGTTTTTAGCAATGATATCATAATGATTGGACGACATTTGACCGACTGGATGTAAACCACTATATGTGTCTGACATTCTTTGATTTCGGGATTGACCCTCTCCATTAATTGCAGTTGTAACATAATTGTGTAAACCTGTAATACATAATTTTACAAACAATAACGAAATTTTAATTGGCTTACGCTTGGTTTCTTCTATAATTATTGTAAGCAAAACTTATGGACAATCTTGTATTATATTTTAAATTCTTAGCTTTAAATACATAATATTATATTACCTATTGCAGTTTCTTTCATTTTTATAAAGTTGTGAAGAACCACAGTAGCTTTAATTATACCATTTACAGTTGCTTCACTAGCAATGATCACTTTACTAAAAATTCTCCATCTTGCCACAAGAATACCAAAACAGTTTTCAATACAACGCCTTGCTCGGCTCAACCTAAAATATGAAAATCTATAGTAAGAATAGGTGCTGAGAAAGTAAAATAGGTCTTTTACCTATAATTAAAAATTGCCAATTTCAGAGGTAATTTTGATGTTCCTCGCCCTGGGTAAGGTCTCATTAATGAGGGAAGTAGTGGGAATGCTTCATCAGCTACAATATAAAAAGGAAAGTCTCCAGAGTTGGTGCTTATTGCTGTAGGTTTTGGAAATAATAGATCATTGTTAATAATTTTTTTCCCCATTTCACAAGCTTTAAAAACGCCTCCGTCACTACACCTGCCAGGCATTCCTATATTTACACAAGTAAAATTGTAATTTGCATCACACATTGCCATAAGAATTGTGCTGTGACTCCCTTTATAGTTGTAGTTTACTGAACCACTCTTTGGAAAAGCCTATAAGATAAACAAATTGAAGACACTTTTGTATTTATATTTATGAATTTCATACTTGGTGGACAACATGTTTCCCATCAAGAGCTCCTACACAATGAGGCATTTGCCATTTACTTTGAAACTCATCAGCAATTTTAATCCACCCATCTTCATTAGGAGTGAACAATACCTGGAAACATATGCATCAATAGGAATTTGCTTTTCAAGATAGTTATTTTGATACCTCCAAAAACTTCTAGTATTTTTTAATTGATTAACAATGATTATATGTAGAGAAAGTTTAACCATTATGTAAATAAATTTGTAAACTATAACCTATACTACTAATAATATGTTTCACTTACATCATCTTTCAATACATCCCACAAAATGTTACAACATTCCAATATAATTTTAGAGACTGTTGATTTCCCCACGCGAAAATCATACATAATGCTCGTCATGCTTTCCCCTGTAGCTAGATATCTTTTTTTTATTAAAATAAATAAATACATAGATATCAATGTTTTATTAAGTTAAATTTATGTAATACTAACCTCAGTGTCATTGCTAAAATTTCTCCTACATTTAGTACATCAATTCTAGTAACCTTCCGTTCAAGACTTGGGCCTATCAGCATTAAAAGTTCTTCAAAAGTTGATGACGACATTCTTGTGAAATTAAAAAAGAGGTCTGAATTCGAAAGTTGATGCTCACTTAACATTGTAGCATAATGACTATGGACTAAACGTTCACAGAGTAATGGACGTATCCTCCATCTAGATTATAAACAATTCACACATTACACATGCTAGAAAACTATATTGATAACTAGGCCATTTGGCTCAAACTTACATACATTATCTGTACCTACATTCATATATAATATAATTGTATACTATTTATTAATTATCAGATCAATATAATCACATTATAAATATTTTAAATCATTTAACTACAGTAAATAAAAACCCATTGATACTTGTATCTCTTTTTATAATAATTATAACACAGTAGTGCAGTACAATAAATATATTATTAGACTTTAGTAAATAAATATTTACCTTCTATTAACATTTGATAAAACATCTTCAAGTGAAAACAATAAACATGAAATAACACAAACTTTTCTCCTTTGCACTTCGCAGTTGTACTCATAAACTGCTCTATTGTACAACTGTTGGTCCATATTGCTAATTATAGACTAGTTAAAAAGTTTAATGAATAGTCATAACGAAAAAGTAAAAGTGTAGTAACTGATTCTGTGGTTGTATCGTTATTTTTATCGTAAATATCAGAATTCAGTTTCAATATTCTGCAATCTGCATAGTAAATTAAAAAAGCCCGCGGAATATCAAATTGATAAATAAACATATTGGTTACGTCATGTATACAGGAAAATACACGACACGGTATAGTACGAGATGACACGACACTACACGGCACGACGAGGTGTGAATCCACCTTAAAGGGGGGTTCACACTACACCGTGTCGTGTAAAATAATCACGGTTACCACAGTTACCAAACGATACCGCATAGTTGAATATATTCAACTTTTGACCGTGTGGTTACATTTATGTGCAGATAAAGCCGGGTTCATACTTAATCTTAGTCCGTGCCTGTACCCCTGTGATTCTATATATTTGGTGATAAAGTGATAACTGATAAGACAGACGACAGTAAATAGTAGGATCTATTTTATAGGAGAGGTTTAAATTATTAATTGATTTAATTTAAAGTTTCAAGTTTCTACCTCTTTGGTCTTTATGAACATTATTCTTGTATACTTTAATACTTGTCTAGTTGTCTATGCATTATTCTGTCTTGAGCCATGAATAACGATAGAAATTAATAATTATTAGAATCAAAGACTGAGGACGTGTTCTATGCTATTGACTCTTTTTATATTAATAAGGTACTTATTATACCTATACTATAAATAACTATATGGTAACTATACTGAAGTATGCAGCACAATTTTATCTATAATTGTTGAACGCAGTAATTATGTAACAATAATTTACTATGTTCAGAAATATTTGATAATTATTAGTTACTATTGACTACTATACGTCTATACTACTATAGCTATTACCCATGTATATTATGTGATAATTTTTTTTTGTATTTATCTAATTATTTTCTATAATTTATTCAGCTAATGCTTGTGATTTTGTTTTTAGTTACTACAACAGTTGTCTTTTGAACAATTTCACCATTCATTTTTATTATTAATTTTGACTTTTTAAGCTTACAATGGAGTCAGTCCATCCATTAACAGACGTTTTTCGGTAAATCATATTTTAATATTTAATATATTATAGGTATATTTATGTATATTAATTATATTATTGTTATATTTTATATTATATTTTTATATATTTATCTATAAATCTTAAATGCATATCTATATAACAATTATTTTGTTGTAACTGGTAAAGATAAGCTGAAGTATCTAATTAACAGAGGTGGGCATTAACTTGTTAAAAAGTTAAATTTTTTTAACTTTTTAACTTAACTAGTTAATTATTTTTGGTTTTAACTTACTTTTTTACGATTTTGGTAATTTATTTTCGAATTATGTATTATAATAATTAAATTTTTTTACACAGCATTAAATGTCTGGGTAAATGTTTGTGTATAACAAAATACTATGGTAGTTGACTTAAAAATATTGTGCCTTCCAAAAAATTAACTTTTTTTTAACTGAGATAAATTCATTTTATTTTCTATCTTAACTTTAAACTGATATAGTTAAATTTTTTTCTTTGTTAACTTTTAAGTTTTAAGTTTTAATTTAACTGAAGGCAATTTAAATGACTTGCCACCGTTAATTATTTTCATTAACTTGCCTACCATTGCTAATTAATAATACACAATAGATTGCAATGAATTAAGTAAGTTGTTTTTAAAACTGTAATGTAACTCCTTCCGAATGTACTATATAAAGTTACTATATAATAGTTTCAACATTATTTTATGACTCTTTTATTATAAACTTTAAATTTATTTTACTAGATATGTTGATGACCATAAAAACAAATTTGTGGAGACATTATCACAGGCAGTCTCAATTAAATCCATATCAGCTGATCCTGAATTGAGAAATGAAGTTAATAAAATGATGCAATGGGCTCAATCAAAATTAAAAGCATTGGGTGCTGATGTTGAGCTATGTGATATTGGCCAACAGGTTATTATACAACATTTTAACATATTTTTAAAAAACTGGTTTAAACAGAAACTTAATAATATTTTCAAATCAGAATTTATTACTAAAAAATATTGTTTTTCGGTTATTAAAGTTGCTAAATTTTAAAAGATTTTGATCATTTAAATCTATTTTATGCTGCATTTTTGATTGAATTACCGAAGAACCTATGTCTATAAAAATAAGTTATTTTTTTTTATTTTGTTTTTATTTCAACATATTGAAATTAAGTTTACTGGTATATTAATATTATGTTAAATTATTTATGATTTGACTATTTTGTCTTAGACATTAAATGAGAAGAAAGTTCAACTTCCACCAGTTTTAATAGGAACATTAGGTAATGACAAATCTAAAACCACAATATGTCTCTATGGACATTTGGATGTGCAACCAGCTGACATTTCTGATGGATGGGCTAGTGAACCATTTGTATTAACTGAAAGAAATGGAAAATTGTATGGAAGAGGTTCTTCAGATGATAAAGGTCCAGTTCTTGGATGGCTTCATGCTATTGAAGCATTTCAAAATACTGGAATTGACTTGCCTGTTAATTTAAAGGTTGGAATGTACATAATTTAAATATTAATAGATAATTATGTAACTACTTAATGATAAATTATTTGCTTTTCAGTTTGTTTTTGAGGGAATGGAAGAATCTGGAAGTATTGGATTAGACGAACTACTGATACAAAAGAAAGAAACGTTTTTGAAAGATGTTGATTATGTGTGCATATCAGATAGTTATTGGTTGGGAACGGACAAACCTTGTTTAACATATGGACTCCGAGGTATGTCCTCTTTTTTTGTTGAAGTTGAAGGTTCCAGTAAGGATTTACACAGTGGAATGTATGGTGGAACAGTGTAAGTTACAACAGAAATTACTAATTAAAGTTGTTATATTTTTATAATGTTATACACTAAAAAATATAAATATTATAAAAGCTACATAGCTATAAATGATAATTTATATACTATGGGTCATAGTTTATATATTTATTTAGAATAGAAGTTTTTAATTATGTAATATTTGGATTTAAAATTATTTTTAAATAAGAAAATTAGACTGATGCTTTCAACATCATGATTAATCAATAGTATTGGTATCATGTGTGGTTCAGTGGGTATCTTGATTTTAACTCTGAATTTAGTTATATTTCGGTTTAAAGTTAAATAATAATTAATAATTTAACTGTTGTTTTAGGTATGAAGCAATGTCAGATTTACTATACATTCTCAATCAATTGGTTGATGTAAAAGGTAAAATTTTAATACCAGGGATTGATGAAGGAGTAGAACCATTATCTGAAAAAGAAAAAGAATTATATGAAAAAATAGAATTTGATGTAGATGCATATATTAGTGAAATTGGGGCATCTAAATCACAAAAAGAAACTAAAGTTAGTATTTAAATTAAACAATGTAAGTATGAAACAGTTTTATGAATACATTACATTTTAGGAAGAATTATTAATGAGTAATTGGAGATATCCAAGTTTATCAGTTCATGGAATTGAAGGAGCATTCTCAGGCCCTGGATTTAAGACTGTGATACCTCGTAAAGTAACAGGAAAATTTTCAATTCGTTTAGTGCCAAATCAAATACCATCAAGAATTTCAGAAATAGTAAAAAACTATGTTCAAAGTGTTTGGGAAAAACGACAAAGCCCTAACAAGTTCAAAGTATTATATTTTTATTATTAAATAATTTTAATAGTGTTAAATGTTAATTAATTTACACATATTAATTCATAATATCGTACGATATATCGTTAATTATAATATATCGCACGATATATTAAGATTATCGATACGTACATTTCCGAAATAAGTTTGCGATATTGGTATCGATATCATAGAAGAAGCCTAGTGTTAATTCATTTAAACATATTAATTCATAATATCATCAATATTATGAGAATAATTTCCATCATACAATCGGCATAATAAGTGTATACTCTGTATATCACAAACATATTTATAATTAAGTTACATTGATTCAATTTGCGAAACATAGTATACAATTTAGTAGGTATACTTAGAAAAAGTTTCATCACCAAATCAAAGAGATAATTTGGAATTTTTCTCCAAATTCAATAATGTGCCAGGGCTTTTCGACCGACTATAAAAATGAGATTCTAAAAGAGACATATTATTTTCTAACTTCTCCCACAGGCCAGATTAAATTGTATATCAGATATTAAAATATACTCTTAACAACCATGTTATGTAGGACCAACAAACTGTTATTTCTATGAATATTAAACATGTTGTACTGTGCATATGATTATATGAATATACAATTAAATATTAATACAATTATAACAAATTGAGTTAATACATTTTTTTTTTCCTATCAATTATTACCCACCATTAATTGTCAGATTGTTTTACTTAATTACATATTGACCATTGACTGACTTTAATTAAATGAATAAATGTGTGGTTAGGTCTAATGTGGTTAATGTCTAGTTAATGGAAACTAACAAATAATTATTAAAATTATTATATTTTGTATAACTTAAAATTATAGTTTTCTATGTAATATATTATAATATTAATATTTTAATTTGATTTATTTTACAGATCTACACAGTTAATGAAGGTGGTAATCCCTGGAAGACTGATCCATTCAATGATCACTTTTTAGCAGCTCACGAAGCTACTAAAACTGTATACAATGTTGAACCGGACTATACAAGATGCGGTGGATCTATACCTGTTACATTAACTCTACAAGTATGTATTTAATATTTATATAATGATATTGGTGCTTCGTAGAGATGAGACAAGACCCAATATATTTTTATTTTTTATATATATATTTATTTATTAATTTACTTTACATAATTGTCCCCCTTTTGTGGTATCATATGTGAACAAATTATCTGCAGTATTTTAAAATGATTCATCCGGTTTCAAACAGTTATATTAGATTTTAAGTTTTTAGGTTTAGAGTGTTAATTTTTTCATTCTAATTACAGTAAATGTTGATAGAATAATTCTAGTTAAATACAAATAAAAAATAAATAATTACAATTGATTTTTAACATGTACAGGGTCCGGCAGTCAAATCCGACGATATAAAAAAATTAAAAAAAGATTTTTATTAATTTTTCGCCAAACAAATAAAAATTACACAAGTGGAATTTCATGTTATATATTTAAAAACTTCATTTTTTAAAGATTGTATCAGGCAAATACCTTCCTTGGTTAGCCACACATTGTGAGAGTCTGACAGCAAAGCTTCCCATGACGTTGTGAAGTGTTTCCAAGGTTATGTTGTTGATTTCAAGGCGAATTCGCTCCTTCAAGTCAACAATATTCCTTGGTGGGTTGTTTTCAAACACCTTGGCTTTCAAATAACCCTAAAGAAAAAATCAGGAGCCGTCAAGTTCGGAGAACTAGCAGGCCACTAGATATCGCCGTTCCGACTAATGAGACGCCCTGGAAATTCCAGCTTCAACAGATCCATTGAGATTCGTACAGTATCTCTTGACGCACTATCTTGTTGAAAAAGTGTGTTTTCATCTGTGTCGTATTCTTCAAGTGCAGGAAAAAAAAATGTGTCTAGCATATCATTGTAGCATTCGGAGTTCACTTTAAGGGCTCTGCCCGATTCGTTCTCGAAAAAATGTGGGCCGATTATTCTAAGTGATACGGCACACCATACTGTTACTTTTTATGGATGGAGGGGTCTCTCATGCTGATGTAGTGGATTACTTTCCGTCCAATACCAAAAATTCTGTTTGTTGATGAAGCCACTTAGGTGAAAGTAGGCTTCGTCACTCATCCATAAGTTGTGTACCCTATCTTCGTTTTCATTGAAAAGAGTCAACATGTGTTGGCTAAAGAGTAATCGGGTATTATGATCTCGTGGATTGAGTGCTTAAACTACCTGAATTGTTTAGGGATGGGAACGCAAGTCATGCTTTAATATTTTCCTCACAGTCTGATCACTTAGGCCAAGTTCTTTGCTGTGACGCCTGGCTGACTTTCGGGGACTTCTCCCTACTGCTTTCCTCACCTGCTTTACATTTTCTTGAGTCCGTCTGTTTTTTTTACTACCCCCTCTCTATTGAGTTGTGCTAGTTGTGGTTTCAAAGTTTTTTACCCACAGGTCGATGGTAGCACGAGAAGGCACAGGATCGCGAGGAGATAAACCAAACTGTCAGCAAAACGCTCGTTCATTACTTTTGTAATTCGCTTTTACTGCAAAAGCACGCTGTTCACTCGACCAATATTCCAGGATTACTAAATTCCGGGTATTTAAAAGCGATAAGAACATTTCCGAAATCTCTACCACTTTAGCCATGCCCACCAGTTCATGTTAAAATCGTTGGGTTTGACTGCCGCACTCTGTATCTGAAATTCTGAACAGATGGTTTAAAATTCAAGCCAAGATTACTTTTAGTTTTTGAATAACTACAAATTCTAATATAATATTATAATATACTCTCATACTTTCTAATAAAAATTACTTTTTAAGTATGATTATATCTAAGACAAACAAAATCTTTATATTTTATTTAGTTTATTATATCTTTGTTGTATTTGGTTTATGAAATTTAATAAACATAAAAATTAAGTGTCATAATATGCCATGTCTAAAATAGTTTGAAATATTTATGTATAATCTGCACTTAAATTATATTTATTTTGAATCACATTATTAATAATTAACTTATAAAACCATGATTAACTAGGACCATGATTAATATATTAATTATTCTAAGTATTGTGGTTATGAGCAAAAGTATTGATTGAAAATGGGTTGTTCTAGGAAGTTACTGGTAAGAGTGTCATGTTGTTACCGATGGGTGCTGGTGACGATAGTGCTCATTCACAGAATGAAAAAATTGATGTACGCAATTACATTGAAGGAGTAAGTAACAAAATATGTTGTTTTAAAAACTCTACAACTATGAGTATGTATTGTAGTAGGTATTTATTCATATGTTTTTAAAGTATACTTGGACAAAAAAAAAATTGCAATACATTATTTTAATATTTTTTAATGCTATAATAAAATATAATTTTTTTTGTTTCAGACCAAATTGATGGCAGCATATCTCTATGAAGTATCTAAAATAAAACATTAAATGTGATATATATGGTTTATTTTTAGCATTTATTAATAAATCTTTATACAAGAATATTATATTTTATAATTGATAATAGTAAGAAAATATTTAATTATTCATATATGGAATTGTATTGTAATATATTTACATTTATTATTATCGTTTAATATTTTTACAATTAAATTACTGATTCCTATAAGTTATTAATTAAATAAAAAAAATCTAATTTAATGGGATGAATCATAAACTTAGATACATAGGAATAGACATTTATAGGTATGAGGTGTATGATCAGTGATTGTTTTTTAATTACTTTAGTTGAATCTGCCAATTAATGAAAAATATATATAAAAAGAACGAATGATAATATTATAAATATTATAAATAAATAAGTATAATATAAATTAATTGCTAAAAGTTATTCTTATTTATTGTTCTTATTCTACATTCTATATTAGTGAACATTACACATATAGGTATTGTTTTTAATTATATTAGTTATTATTAATATTATAATCAAAATTAATTTATTAAAAACATGATTTATAACAGATACTGCTAATTCAATCTGTTTACATTGAAAGTGAATTAATGAAAGTATATAATGTTTCAACAACTGAAAAATAATGCCATTTTTTTGACACTGGCCTAAAACTTTACTAGTGAAGATGTAGCTTGGAATAATTAAAGTAGCTGAATATACTTGTTAATTTGTTAAATATAGGTAACTCAATAACTTAAAATCAGTCGGGCTCAGACAGCCATAACGATAACATGTGCTTTCCGTTCCGAAATGCGTTGCTTATCTTATCTAACCAATTGCCGTTAATTGAGTCATTAAGAACGCTGTAATGGCGAATATTGTATCACCAATTGTCATAAACAAGAACAAAATTCAAAAAAAGAAAACAGTAGAAAACTCGTCAAAGAGAGCTCTATCGTCAACTTCAACCAACTCACCAGACCATGAGGATAAAAAAAAAAGCAAATTTTTTGTCTCGCCAAACCGATTCCAAGCCCTGGCAAAGGATGAAGAGGAAGAACAGGATAACGTCTTCGTCACAAAAGAAGCTCTACTCGTCACACAACCTAACGAATCCTCAACAAAACAAAGTAATGTTAAACTTCCGAATATCGTCCTAAACGATTTTAGCATAATACATAAAGATCTAACTCGCATAGTGGGCTCTGAGGGGTTCACATGTAAAGCAATTAAATCTAATATTATCATACGGTCAAATACACGGGCCAACTTCATGGCTATTGGCTATTAAGTCATATCTAATAGAAACTGATCAGGAATATCATTCTTATCTCCCCCGTTCCTCCCAACCATTCCGTGTGGTACTACGCCACCTCCACCACTCCACTCCTACCACAGATATCATAACCTGTCTAAACGACCTCGGACATAAAGTAATCAGCATTACTAATATAACACACAGTGCGAACAAATTGCCACTTTCACTATTCAACATCAGCTTAGCTCGTAACACCAACAACCGTGAAATATTCAAAATCACCAAATTATTAAACTCAATAATAAAATTCGAATACACAAAGAGACAACTTGGTCCTCCCCAATGTCATCACTGCCAAAAATATGGACATACACGCAACTACTGCCGCCACAAACCGCGATGCGTGAAATGTGGAGCTGAACACTACACTGATAATTGCACAAAAAAACTGGAGGAACCAGCAAAATGTGCAAACTGTGGCGGAAACCACACGGCCAATTATAAAGGTTGCCAAACCTTCAAAAAAATATTAAGCCGCATCAAATCCAAAACCAAAACAACAAAAAGAGATAATCTACACACTCAAACTCAAGCTGTACCACCTGCACCCCACAGAAGTGGGCATGATACGCTACGCTCAAACCCAAGAGAAAAACCCTCATATGCCGAAGCCACAGCAAATACACCACCATCCGATCAACTTCTCCAAATCGTCACAAGTTTCCTTAACGAGCTAAAATTAATACTAAACCCCCTCCTAGCTGCTCTAACATCCCTAATAAATAAATTTCCACTCCTCATCACTTCCACTCCTTAATTAACACACGTATCAAATTTACTGATCATCCATACCATATTCTAATTAAATTCTAAATTGTATTAATTTAAATAACAAACTTGTAAAAACATGCAATATGTTGAAACATTTAAATTATAATAAATAAAAAAAAAAAAACTTAAATTACCGGATACCCTAAATACAATTTATAAATATTAAAACTACATGTTAATTGTATTGTTTAAACAACTACTGGATAGGTAGGTAGTAGCCAGTAGGTATAAAAACATTTTTCTAGTATTATAGCTAAACTAGTTTAAATAATACAATTCTAAATATTGATCATAGGTCTCTCATCGATATTTTATGTTCCAATTAATTAATTGAACTCAATAACTTTATTTTTTTGTACATAATTGTAGCTGGGATACTCCTGATCCAGATAATCCTGATGAATCATGGTAATGCTATGTTTCATTTTCATTGGTTGATATAATGTTACTATTGCCTATTATTAGTTATTAGTAATGTTATTACTAAAATTTTTTGGTTCCTTCAATTTTTGAAAGTTTTTAACTGTATTTAGGACGTCAGAGCCGATGTGTCTTTTAGTACAAAAACATGTCTTACAGGAAAAACTCTCACGTCCTGTAGAATAGTCAGATTTTGTTAATTTTTTTTTATTTAAAAGAAAAACATATTGAAGGTTGGATCAAAGTCCGATTTTCAAAATTATAATATTAGGTATATAAGCTAAATTAATATGCATTTAAATAATGCACAATATTTGTTCTTTTCCAAACATATTTTTCTACCAGTATTTAAAGTAAAATTAAAATTTTAATCTGACATGAAAAATACTCTATTAAAAAAAAAAAAAAAAATTAATGAAATCCGAATATTCTACAGGACGCGAGAGTTTTTATTGTGAAGTCATTTTCGTTGATATAATACACAGCACCAACCCCTCCTAAATAGGTATCGGGCTGTAGATTAGTGGGAAATAATTAAAGTAGTAGACTAGTAACTAAAATATAAAATAAAATTTGTTAAAATTGGAAATACCTACACCGACATCCTTAATGTATTATGTATAGCCTATAGCGTATAGGTACCTATAACCTATACTAATGATTCAAATATAAAAATTCTAACTGACAATTGACAAGATATTGAATAAAAATTAATTTTAATACCTCAATAAAAAAAAAAGGTGGGTAAGTGGATGTCGCTCTGCTGTACTGCAGGTTACAAGTGGGTCATGGTATAATGGATGGTATTAAATTTGAATTCAATGATATAATATCATTGTATAAGAAAAACGATTCTGAGTGGAGACGGTATGTCAATCTAGGTATAAGACATAATATATACTTATCGATGGTATTAAAAAAAAAATTGACCTATAATAGATACCTATAATAAATTCCAAATTAATCATATCACAATATCCATTAGGTATCATATATCCCCGAATACTATTTTTAAATTACAACGAAAAACCAAGATCGTTAATATTGATTTTAATATGTAATTTCGTCCAAATTTGGATTTAAAATTTCTGTAAAAAAGAACAGTGTTCAGATATTTTTTAGATTTTTTGGTTACAGTATGAACTATTTATGAGAACTTTTGTTTTAAATTTGCAATCCTTAGCTATAAAAACTGAACATTTTATAATTTATTAATTACAATGATTGATAATTTTCGAGATTTTGATAAATTTTGTCAAAATTCGATTTTTAAATGCTTATAAAAAAAAATTGTGCCTATGTATTTTTAATATTTTTCAATTGTTATTGTAACAATATATCAGGAGGCTTTTATTAAATTTTTACACTTTTTGGCCCAACAGATAAAACTTTATTGGTATTTATAGAAATAAAAACTAAAAAAATTGAAAACTGAAAATGTCCGTAAACAGCTCAAAAAGAGTCAAAATATTTTCAAAATTATATGATGTATAGGAAATGCTAATATAAACATTCAGTGAAATTTTCATGTATTTATAGTTATTCGTTTTTGAGTTGCAACAAAATAAAGAAATCGCTACATGAGTAATCGAGTGAATATCCAATGTTGTAAAAATTTGAATTTCAAACGCTCATAAAAATTTAACTTGACTGTCCGGTAGAGATTTTTTTATTGATAAAGGTAGACAAACTTATGAGTAATCTTGAATTACATTTTCAAATCTTAGATTTAAAAAGAAAAATTTTTACGAATTCTTAACTCAAAATAATTCGCTAATTTTCGTGATTTTTCCACATTTTTACAATTTTTGAACTTTAAATGCTTATAAAAAAAAATTGTGACTAAGAATTTTTAATATTTTTCATCTGCCTTTGAAACAACATATTAGGAGCCTTCTATTAAATTTTCAAGCTTTCGCAACCAACAAATAAAATTTTATTGATATTTTTAGAAAAAAAACTAAAAAAAAATGGAAAATGAAAATGTCCCTAAACAGTTCAAAATAAATCAAAATATTTTGAAAATGTTATCGTGTATAGAAAATGCAATTATAAACAACCAGTGAAAATTTCATGTATATACGTTCATTTGTTTTAGAGTTACACCAATAACCAAAATCGATTTTTTGGAAAACCAATTTTGCGTGAAAATTCCCGTTTTTCCTTAATTTTTATGTTGTTTTTTCCGGCGCTTGTGAAAACTACTGGGAAATTTATACTTTTGACCCCCCAAAGTACCAACTAGATTTACTTTCCTATCAGAAAAGCTACTGATGAAGAAAATCCAAGCACTTTTACTGTCCTAAAACGTGATGACAGACACAAAAATATAAAAAAAAAGGTGGGTAAGTGGATGTCGCTCTGCTGTACAGTAGGTTACAAGTGGGTGACTGTATAATGGATGCTATTAAATTTGAATTCAATGATATAATATCATTGTATAAGAAAAACGATTCTGAGCGAAGACGGTATGTCAGTCTAGGTTTAAGATAAATTATATACAAATCTATGGTATTAAAAAAAAAT